AAACATACTGATATATTACTCTACATAATGTTTTAAAATACCAGTACTTTTAACTCTAAATACATGGATATAAAATTACCAAAATTGACCTGGTTTATCATAACAAGTTTCGTAAAGATAACACAAATGGCAGTGTTATGGCAGTGCAATAAAAATCACAAACCCATGTGCTGGGAATGTCCCCTAGCTTTTTTATTATGTTATATATGTGATATATTTGACCACCTATATATTCAGACATCAATCATCAAGGCGGCTATAACCATCTACTTAAAATACATAAGGAAAGTGTTTACAATTTAGCTCATAATAACAAACTGAGTAAGAAATTTTCTTTAATAAATAAATAAATGTGCCATGCAAACCACCCCAACATGAATTAGTTTGAAATTAAGTTTGAACTCTCATCCACCTTTGCATTTAAACCTACCTACTATCTTCATGCATTTCTTTGGTCTAACCCTCTATTTTGTCCCTTGTGTTTCTAAAACACTGGTAATGTTGTTTCTTCAACACTATAAAATTTGCTTCACAATATCATGTGACTACACCAGAATAAGACATAAATATTCTGCTAATTTCCATTCATTATCTAGCTAATGGTAAAAAGTAGCACTGACTTCAGGTCAAAATTCATATACATCAATTAAGGAGAATATTAGAGTGCAGTTTTAAACAATCACTTCCTGAGCTATACAGTCACAACAATCAAGTTCATATATATATATATATTACAGCAATGTCATCTAATGTTACTTAGTATGTCAGATGCAACAATATGTCAACATTCTCAAGATGCATATATATGAAATGGACGAGTATCTTCCTGGGGGTTTTTCTGTAATGATGCCATTGTGAACAGGTCTGTCTCACTGTCACAAAGCTGCTACAGTCTTTCTACAATGGTCTACTGGTCAACTTTGCTTTGTAGTGAACTCATTTGTTTCATTGAGGTAACCCATGACCATCTCACAGTGGCACAGAATTATTGCTGGATGCGTTGAGCTCTGTGTAGAAAGTGAGAGGAGAACAGCATCTGTTACAGCTGAGATCCGGAATACCCCTGAATCAACACTTATGCATCGACTATTAAGAAATTCCTCTGTTGATTAAATTACATTCCAGTAAAGTGCTGACATTGTTTTTGTTTGAAAAACGAGATAGTGTTTTATCTAACTGACAGTGACTTGCTTCTTGAAGTCCAATTAAACACAGATGAAAAAAAAATAAAATGAATGCAGCTGCATGTCTGTAAGTTCTAGAAAAACATACAAAACAAGTGGTGCCAAACATTGAATATGATATTTTTTGCTTAGAAATAATAAACATGCCAATCCCAGCTCTTCAGTGGAGTAGAATGGATTACTGAAGCACACAAAAAGTTCCTAAACACTGCCAGAGAGATGCAACACACGGATGTGAATAAAGCTACAGTCACAAAACATTCAGAGGAATTTCATTTTGAGATCATAATTTTCTTCATCAGTTCAACAATTATGCCGGGTCATCCCCACACCAGTAAGGTGGAAAAAAAGTCTCACAAGCATGTAAAACTCATAAATTGGAGACCAATATCTAACTTTTGCACACAGTTGTGACACTTTCAGGGTGGACGGCTGCCATCACCTGGTAGACTACAGGGCAGTGATTTAATGTCATCATCATCATTATCATTAGTTGTATTATTATTATTATTAACATGGAAGCTGACATGGTCCCTGCAACAGCAGCACCCAGATAGAACTTCCCTGAATTTAATAGCAGTAGCAACATATAAAGCATCTCAATCAGCCTACACACCCGCGTTTAACTTAATAAATACCTTTAAGGAAATGAAAAAGGTGTACCTGGCATAAGAGATCATTATTACTACATCTGCTAACACTAGAGAAGACAGAAACATCAAACATGTTCCATTCTGAATATCGGAGTGGTCATAAAAGTCTTGTGTTCATACAACTCCTGAAGAGTTATAAAACTTCTTTATTATAATTAGTATGAACTTCTAAATAAATTACTGAATGTGTTCTACTGTCATAACTTATCAGCATAGAGACCATTATAATTGACACACATCCATAAAAAACCTACTGCATTTCACTTTGCAGGTTATATAATTAATATTAGTTTTAATGTCATAGGAAAAAACTTCTAATTTACTAAAAAGAGTCGATAAATGTTTTATTGTAGCAAATCATTTTTTTGAAAACGTCACTTTCTGAGTTTACAATAATAACTATAATAATGCATCTGTCTACTGTTGAAAAAGTTATAAGCTTAACTATGAGCAACACCATATTGCATTGTGGACAGCAATACAACTTTTTTTCAATGTCCACTCTATGATACAAGAATTTTACCCATATATTTCCATACATTTTGAACTTTGTCTGAACAATCGTCTATAGCTTTTAGTATCTCAGGGTCTGTTTAAAAGTCGATATATCCTAGCATACTGTGGTCATCATTTGACTTCAAAACCTGAAAAAACAAAACGATGCCATTAACATGTGTTAATTTTAAATATATTAAGCTCACACAAAAGGGAAAGCTAAACATTTAAATTATACTTAATGCTGGACATAACTTACTTTCATCATTCACTGAACAAACCAGAAAGCATTTATAGCATGATTGTTAGTTTGGGGATGGAAATGTCTATGAAATGTTTATAACACATAAAAGAACAGTAGCATGCAAAACTGCATAAATGTGCCATGCAATGATCATATGTGATATGCACATTTTTCTACTGGTAAAAATATATTTAAAACATCCAAACTGTACTTAAAATAATAGGGGGAGATAGCTTAAACAAACATTATACAAACATATAAGCACATCTGCAATACATATTCAAAGTGAATTATCAAGTAACCATGTTTTACAAGATTTCTTCTTCTCTGCTGGTTACTCCAACATAGCTGGTGCTTGGAATTGCGTTCATGTTTTAGTTTCTTATCAAAAATTGAGAAATTAATCCAAAATAAAAAAGAGAGGGGAAACAGTACATCATGCATTAACTTAAAGAGGAGGACTGCTTATAACTTTATATCTAAAGCAGAAACAGAAGCTCAGCATGGTGCAATAGACAAAAAGCAAATGCACAGCCAACCACCAAAGCAGGGAAGACAGGGAAAGGATAAAACCATGCATCTCTTTCCCTTACCGGGTCTGTTGCCATTGAATGGTCCCACAAATGATGAGAACCCAGGCCCGGCAAAAGAAGGTCCATTCATCCTAGGTGGACCATCAGGAGTTGTGGGAGGTCCATTGACACAAGGTCCATCAAAGGGCATCCGTGGAGGTCCATCGAACACGGGTTGCCCATTCATCCTCGGTGGTCTGTCAAATCTGGGTCCACTATTCCAGTGGCAAGGGCCAAGATCATTTCCTTCCATTCTGGGGCCATCAAATCTGGGGCCATCCATTCTAGGACCAGAAAATCTCATGTTGTCCATCCGGGGGTTGTCAAACCTACAGTGATCCATTTTGGGACCACCGTCAAACCTTGGTCCATTCATCCTTACACAGTCATCCCTAGGACCACCATCGAACCTTTGGCCATTATTTCTCCCATCATACCTATGTGGTAGACCATCAAATCTAGTGGGGCCTGAGCCTCTTGGCAGGCCATCACACTGGGGCCGTATGGCTGTGTCATACCTTGGGCCCTGAGGCCGGTGCTCTTCAAATCTGAATCTATTTTTATCATGAGGTGGTTGTCCATCAAATCTCATTCTGTCTGCAGTCTGTGGACCCTCCATTCTGGGCATCCCTTTTGGGGGAACCATACTGTTATTGGGAGCTGACCCAGGGCCAGAGGGTGGCAGAGGGGGTGGTGGGGGAGGAGGAG